ATATTCATACCTATGTATATTGATTTAAATAGGTAGTTTTTAGGAAATATCGAAAATTTTCAAATTTTGATCAAAATAATTATTTAAAATTTTAAATAATATTAAATAATTCTATGATAATCTAAACAATTTTTCCAATCCAATTTTGGAAATATTTGTTTACCAAAAGTATTATGATAATCAATAATAATTTTTGTTTTAAAATTAATTTATTTTATCAGGTAAAATACTAATTCTTACTTAGGTATATTAAATTTGCTACGTTGGCCACACTGTGGTTATAAAGAAAACAATTGCTCTGATTGGTCAATAAAAGCACATCGCGCGACAATTGTAGACAGCTCACATAACAACGACGTGTGACCTTGCTCCATCGCAACGTGGATGGGTGCTTTGCGCATGCTTACGTTCTGCGATCTGCGTTCTGCGACAATTGTAGACCCGGCTTAAGACCACCCCTTGCTTTTTGTAAACCGTTGGTAAAGTAAATTAAACACTGTATTTTATTTTTTGTATACCCAATTATCCTAAGTATGATTCTTAAAGCAAGGTATTTAATAAAACAAGTAAGTAACCACAACGTCCAAGGTCCAGAGGTCCAAATTTTAGTAAGACGATCACGAGCCAAAGTCACAAAATATATCATTTATTAATTTTTCATAAAACTTGTTTTAACGAATTTAGTAGTAAATATATCTTATAAATCGTTCTACGTTTAGTGGAATTACAGATTAAATAACCACAGTAAGGTTATTGAAATTGCCGAAATATTTTGTGAAGGAAACATATTTTTGACTACGATTAGGAAGAAAATAAAAATGAAGAACAAGAAAATAAAGGAGAAGAAGTGGAAGGGATGGAATTCTCCAGTGATGAATCAAAAAATGAAAATGAAGAACAAAAAAATTAAGGAGAAGAAGTGGAAGGGATGGAATTCTTTAGCAATGAATCAGAATCTGATTATCAAATTATTTCAGGTTTTAATATAAAAAAGCTTTTTAATAATAAAATAAATACAAAATAATCAAAATAAAATTAAAATCTTTGTATTATTCTACAATTCTATTTTTTCCTGCAGATTTTTCAAAGATTTCGAAAAAATATATGGTTTTGAGTGTGAAAAGATGAATATTTTGGAAAATCTTGTTTAAATAATGTTTTCCAGCACATAAGCAAACTTAAAGTTCAGTTTTGTGTGCGTATTTTATAAATTACTTCTTTTAGTAGGTATACTTTACAAAATTTTTGCCAGAAGAAGTAGCAATAAATTTTAAATATTATCGAAAAATTAAAAAAAATCGAATATTTGGTCCCAAAAATTGGGTTTTTGGGATAAATGAGTTTATTTTTGCAGTAATTACAATTCTACAAAAAATCTTGACGATATAAATCAAATATGTGCGAAAAAAATCGATTTATAGGTCTAAATTGGGGTGTATGAAGCTCGAAAATAAAAACGGCCATAAAAAAAATTCGAGCTACCTTTTACAAACCCAGCGAGGGTTTTGCTATTGGATAGGTATATTTTCAGAAAAAAATGGTCCGGTGCGGTTTGATTTCGATGACACGAAAATTGTCGCACAGTGTTATATTTTCTTAAATTGGTTAAATTAACCCAGAAAACTTAAGTTAAACCAACCCGCCCTATGGTTCAGTTTAATAAATATGTTTTTTTATAAAATAAAAATTACTTCAACCTTAAGCACTCTGTTAAAACGATGAAAACAATTTGGAGCATTCTGGTTGCATACTATGCAAGTATGTACCGATCGCGGCAAAGGCGGTGTGGATCACGTCATGTTCTTACACTGAAAGAAATATATGTTTGTTTTAGCAATGTATGTGGACTACCACATAAAATATATTTACCTTAACCATTTTTATATTTAGTTTTAACATATTATGTTAAAACTAAATATAATATATGTTTGTTTTAGCAATGTATGTGGTAGTCCATATATGAACCACATAAAATTGCTAAAACAAGCATATATTTCTTTCAGTGTACATCTCGCCCCTGTTGGCTTAGTTGGACATTATATAAGCTCTGGTTTAGTTATTTGTTATGGGTATTCAACAAGTTGTCCGACACTAATGAGACCCAATATAGTTCAAAACAGCTGTCTGTATTTGAAAGTGGTAAAACGCACATAACAAAACCTAATCTCTGGCGAGGTGAAGGTTCAATTCTCTGGAATAATACTAGTAATGGGTGTTGAGGAAAATTGAATGATTAGCTTTAACAAAAATGTTTCCACCCCAAATATTTCAACATTTTATTTTTATTGTTAGCTATATAAATGCGCCAAACGCTATGGGACCAAGCCGGTAACCTAGTTAGGATAACAAATTATATTGAGTCATTTCAACCAATGGTATTTAGTATATTGGACTGGCAGGTAAATGTCAATTTAACTAAATGTTTGTTTTAAACAAATATTTAGTTGCAAGATATGAGTAAATGCAATTGTTAAAATAAATTAATGTTTATTTGGATTTAGTTAAATAAAACCAATAATATTTAGGCCATCTAAACCTTTTTTCTGTATATTTAAATTACATTTTATATGTTTAATATCACCTGGCAAAAAATATAGGTACATATACTATACAGGGTGAGTCAGAAGTAGGTACATTAATTTAAGGAGGTGATTCTACAGATTATTTTGAGTCGTTTGAACCCAATATTGCCTTATACAAAAGTTATTAGTTTTGGAGTTATTTGATTTTTTTTGATTTTGGTAAAAAATCGTGTCCAGGATTACATTTTTTAAAGTTAATTAAACGATTCTTTTTTTAGTAGTTAGCCCATACATTGGTACATGCCACATATTAATAGTTTTTCCAAAAAAGCCATACACTGAAAAAAATAAGCTGTTGAAACAACAACAAAAATATTAATTCAACTCTTTATGCACTTTAAATACAAGCAATGGTTTTTGCACGTTTACTTAACCATATAAAAATGTCAAATTGTATTGTTTAATTGAACAACAAATAACAGTCAAATGAACAAAATGAGAATATTTGTTCTAATCTGCTAATTTGGTTAATTTAACATTCTTAGGGTGTTAAGGTGAATTTCTTGAAATGTCCAGGTAACCTTTTTAGCATATTCACTTAACACCAATAAAATGTTAAATTAACATTCTGAAAATTTAAAATTCTTTAAAGGTTGGTATCCAAAACAAAATTATGGAAATAATATATTATTATATATAAAGAGAAAGAATTGAACCTTCACCTCGCCCAGAGTTTTTGTTTTGAGCGTGTTCCACCTACTTTAAATACCGACAGACAGCTGTTTCGCCCTGTATTGAGGGTCTTATCAGTGTCGGGCAATATGGTGTAGTGAAAGTTCCACTGTGGAACACACCTAAAACAAACAGCTACCTGATCTTATATACCCCTAATCGTAAGCCAACTAAGGCGAGATGTAAGAACACGTCATCGTCTAATGACGTGGCGCGGGTGTTCGAAGCGCCATTCTCGGCAATTTTATGAATGCAAATTTTACATTTTAAATTTTAAAGTAACATTGACAATTTGTTAAATGAAAAAATTTAATGTTTTGGATTAAAGAGTAACTAAACGTTAATTTAATAGTTTTTTTAGGTAATCCTAAACATTTCAGTGGTCGATTCAACCTATTCCAGCTATTAAATAAAAATAGGATAAACATTTTAATTCAAAAAATTAGTTGATGTTAAATCAATATTTTAACTGACAAATGAACAAATAAACTTTGACAAACTCTGACTATTGCTTTAACACCAAAATATAGATTAATCCAATAGGTTTTTTGTTGAAACAACATTTTCAAAAATGACATTTAGGCAAATGTTAACTCAACTACATTATTTTTTTCTGTGTATGGAACAGTATAAAATAAAATTTTATTCGCGAATTTGGACTTGTTAAGTTCATCAGGATTTTTTTTTAATTTCACTATACACTTTGCGTGCAAATTGTTTAAAAAACTTTTTTTTAAAAAACTCTCTTTCGAATGCCAATAAAAACAATTATTTTTAGGTAGAAAATGTCAAACGACTCAAAATAATCTGTAGAATCACCTCCTTAAATTAATGCACCTACTTCTGACTCACCCTGTATATAGTATTAAATTAAATTAGTTTTAATTTCCTGACTCTAAGAAAATGTCCCTGAGATTCCCTGACTTTCCTTGATAAAATAAAATCTCAGACATTAACAGGTTTTCCAGCAAGAAAATGATCACCCTTTTACAAATACATCTTGAATTAAGTATAAAATAGAAATTTTAAATTTTTACTCATCATTTTCGATAAAAAAATCCCTTTGAATGCATGAATGGATGAATTTGGTTTGTGGGGGTAGCCATAACATGGTCACATGCACTTGGGTCACATTTGGCCCTTTGTACTACCTCCAAGAAGTCATTTTTCCTGATTATGCTTACCCATCTTTATGAATCTCCAAGCTTCTAAAAAAATTTTAGGAGGGAGGCGGAAGTCGTGGAGAAAGTTCTTCTCCTAACTTGTAAACTCGGCAATCATAAATAATATGCATCAAGTTTTTTTTTTGCATATACATAGTTTATGGGGTATTACAAAATAAATATTACATCCACGTGCTATCTAAGTTGCCTTAGAAACATGGAAGCGAATCTGCGGGTAAACAGGTAGTATTTTAATAAACGTAAATTAAAAATTCACACTATTCACACTATACGTGTAGAAATTATGGCCCTTTTGTTTATTTTGTAATTAATTTTATTATTACTTTATCCAGATAAATTATATTAACTTAGTCACTCACTTTCCCTGCCCTAGTATTTGAGGTTAAAAAACGATTAACATGTTATTACTTTTTTTCGTTTAGTGCAAATATTTTTTATCGAAATTTAAATTAATTGCTGGTAATACATTATTATAAAAAATATATATGTCATTAATAATTAATCAATTATTGATTAAGCATAAATTAACTGGGTTCACAGATTATAATATAATTGAAAGCACATAAAACATATTATTCAAATACGAAATGTTTGGTGTCCGATGTTTTTGCCTTTTATTGCTCTCTTTTAATTTAATTAATGGTCTTCATCCACGTAAGCTATTTTATATTTTTACTTATAGATTCTAATTTACTATATTTACTTTTTAGCATCTTATATTAAGCCATGTTCCTTAAGCGATCCAAATTTAAATGATTGTGCATTAAAAAGCGGCATTGAAGCGCTTCCACATCTTTTAGAAGGTATTTTTTTCAAAAAAAAAAAATATATATATAAGTGCATTTACATTCCAATTTAATTTTAAAAGGACAAGCGATTATTATCGCTTAAAAATACTATCTTAATTTTCTATAAAAAGACCTGTGTAACAACATAAAAATACTGCATTTATCTAGTTTTACAAAAAGGGTTTAATATATTATTTAATTTTTGACACAATATTTTTAGGAGATAAAAAATATGGCATACAAACTTTAAACCCCTATTACGTAGATTTAATTGAAGTTAACCAGGGCGATTTAAAAGTAAATCTAAAAAAACCTGTAACAACTGGATTGGAAAAAGTTACACTAAAAGCTGTAAAGTAAGTTTATATTGATTTTTTAATGTTTTTTTATGTTTTTATATTATGTTTAATTAAAATTATATTAAAATATATTATTTAAAATTTGTAGAATTGATACGGAAACGAAAAAAATGTCAATTAATACATTATTCCATAACATAGTGGTAACAGGAAATTATGAAATCAGTGGCAAAATTTTAATTTTACCAATTGAAGGACAGGGAAAATTAAATATTACAGTTGGTATGTACATATACATAATATAATATAATATAACATAATATTTACCTACTTTTATACATAAAATAACTTCCCAGCCAATATTGGGACACCCTGTATTGAATACGCAAATAATTAAAAATACGCGATTTATTTATTTTATTCTAAGCATAATGATATATTATGTCTCAAGTTTAAAAACGCCCTTTTAGTCACGAATTTAGTGCTAAATTAAATATATATTTATATATATATATATATATATTATACTTTTTCTACGACAAATACTTTATTAAAAAAATGATTTAAATTAAATATTTGCATAGAGATAAATCTATAAAACAACTTGGAAATCTGTATAACCGGCGCGCCAGTGAAAATGTCAAAATTTTATGTATAAATGGACCATTTATTCCGAAATAGAAGCAGTTTTACGTATGTGAAAGTAAAGAAAATGTTTAATTGGCACTCCACGGAGTCACCCGAAATTAAGTTAAATCTAGTTTACTTTCGTCGAAATTAACAATGTTCATATAAAATTTTCAAATATTGGCGTTGAAAAACTTACTTCTGTATTTTTGAATTAAAATAATAAAATAATTTTTACATTTAGTATTATTTTACAAGATCCCTTAATAATAATAATATAAATATCTCGAGGGGGGTTCGGACCCTCTAAGATTTACCCTAGTTTGCTTTTATTAATGATTCAATAATTAATTTTACTGGATTTATTAATTCATTTATTTATTTGATTTACAAGTCAACAGTCAAAAAATTGCCCACGAAGAATGCAAACTTCAAAAGGCCATAAAAAACAATGCGAGTTAATTTTACCAAACCCTGCGAGGGTTTTCTCAGTCTTTTATTTCGCGTTAGATTCATTTGGGCGCTAAAATTTATTGATTGTTGTACTGTGAATACAGTAACATTACAACATTATATAAAAAAAAGTTGAATAATTTGTTATTACGCAACTTTTGATATGAGCATAATAAAATTAAAAAAAAAACGGTGGTTCTTAAAATATTTGAAAAAAACTAAAAACCTGTCAAAATAAAAAACCGTATTCCTGTGAATTTAAAAAAAGAGTTTGTTTGGTGATTGGTTTTATGCAACCGTCAAAATAAAAAAATTGAGATAAATGGGGGTATGTAGGACCTCCTTTTAAAATAATTGTAAGCAGTAAAACATGCAACAAGATAGCAAATTAAAATATTCAAAATAAAACCGAACTCTGCAAATACCCTTTTTGAACCTTAACAAAAATTAATTTCATTAAGTCAACAAAAAACCAACCAAAATTTTTACTTCTTTTATCAAAAAGAAAGAAAACAAATTGTAAGAAATAAAAAGTTTATTACGAAATTAGCGGTTTAAAAATAAAATTAACACGTTAAACCTAAAATTAATACTAAAGTCATGAATAAACCATAGAATTTTTCGCACGCTTTTATCTCAGTTTGGCAAAAGTAAGGGTTAGTTTCCTGTTAGCAGTGCCGTAAAATTTGTGGTTGGGCCCCATGTCTCTTGTACCACCCAAAATTAATAACCTCAACACTCAAACACTCAGCATGTATTTAAATTGATTGATTTTTGTTGACTTAACTATTTGGATAATTTTACTAGATTTGTATGTGGTTATTTACAAAAGTGACCAACTTTCTAAAATGAAAAACCAGGACACAACATGCCCCTCCTTGCCCTTCCAAAAATAAATAAAATTTATTTTATTTAATGTTTATTATTTGATAAAAAGATGTGCTAATAACGTAAATAATAAAAAAATAGTATAAACCAGGACCAAATCTGCAAAACCAGTACACAATTAAAACCAAGACACAATAGCAAAAACCAGAACCTGGTCACCTTTATTTGGTTTAAATGAATAAAAAAAGAAATACTTTAAATAAATAAAAAAACAAATCCTTTTAATAATTAAATATTTAATTTTATATAAATAAATTATTACATATTTACTCTACGGGAAATTCTGGAACTTAATTTTTGTTCCTGCTTTCATAGAGAGAAAGCATTGGTCAGCAGTGCCGACGGCGCGTTGCAGTTTTTAAAAAGTTATATAAATAACACGGAAATCAATTTTTATACTGGTTTCGGTATTCTATAAATTTTTAAGCTCCACAGGGCCTGTGTGGCACAGGCAAGGAAATTGTCTATAGGTTTCAATAATAGTATTATGTATCAAGTTTTATAAAAGCTATTTTAGTCACGAGTTTTATTAGGCACGAGCGAAGCTTGCAAGCGAGTGTTTAATAAAAACGAGTGTCTGAAGTTTACGGTTTATAAAACGCCATAAAGTCACAGATTATCAATGGGAAATCTTAAATTGGATAAAAATGAGTATGTATGTATGTATTTTTAAATGTTAAACCTACTTTTTAATGATAAAGGCTAAAACGACGTTAAATTTGTCATAACATTTTTTTTAATGTGAAATTCCTAAGTTAATATTAATAATAACAATTACTTAAATTTAAGATTTTGTAGCAAAATTGTTTTTTGTACCCAAATAATTAATCTGATAATAATTAATGGGATAAAAATAATATGCTCTTTTTTATTTTAGTAAACGGACTTTTTACTTACGAATTTACTATTGCTAAAGAAATAAAAAATGGTGTTGAATATGCAAAAGTAACTAACGATATTCTATTAATGGATATAGAAAGAGTGTTTTTTAATTTTGAAAACTTATTTAATGGTGACAAAATACTAGGTATTAAGAATTTTAAACGCATTATATTATGTTTATATTAATTTTTTAGGAGATCAAATAAATAAATTTTTAAATGAGAATTGGCAAGATGTATTAAATGAAGCAGGAGGAGCTGCAATTGAAGTACTAAAAGGAGCTTGTAAAAACAGTTTAAATGGTTTATTTTTAAAAGTACCATATAATGAATTATTCTTACAATAAAATATGTCTTACATATGTTTTTATGTTACATAATTATTATGTATATTGTAAATAAATTATATGCCTGATATTAAAATTATTTAAATTTTTAACTAACTCATGAATAAATATTTTTGAGATCACGAATCAAATTACTTGCAATATTTTATATGTTTTAAATTTATATTTGATATCATTCTAAATATTAAAACAAACACAAAATATTTTAAAGTTTTGTTAGTAAAGGATTGTGGATACATTGTTATTTATTATAAAATTGGTATTTTTTATTTTTCCAACTTTCTAAAAGAAAGCTATTAATTAATTTGTAATAACTATTTTTATATGCAGGGGCGGACAAATGACCGGGCAGTTCGGTGCGGTGCCCGGGGGACCCAGACATAAATAAAATTGTTAAATATTATAATAATTATTATAATACACATTTTTGGACATTATTGTACACCTACTTTAATATTTATTTAAACCGTATTTTTACGCTAATCGTGTGGGATATTTTGCAGCGACGAAGGGACACCGTTCGAGATCATTTCGCTTATAAAAGCAAAACCCAAATGATGCTGGAAGGGTGCAAAATATCACCACTCTCTTTCAAGGTGTTCGGATGCACTCGGTACTGTATACTGTTAAAATACGGTATATAGATTTCCGGAAAACTTTCTGCCATTTTAGAATCGCCGTATTTAATCATAAGCTCAAAAAAAATTTAAGGAAATATCTGAATCCTTTTGTTAATCAGTTTAATATGTTGCTTAATTAATTAAAACTTGACCTTAAAGAAGGTTATCTTATTAAATTTATAATTAAAAATTATTCGTGCATAGAAATTTTGTGAAGTTTTTATGTTATGTTTAATAAACATTGTTTATGCTATTTTTACTCTTTATGTAACAGTGTTTTTTAGAAACGATCTTTTAGTAAACTAAAAATGTTAAAAACTCGTATAAGATCTACAAGTAAGCAGCGATTGCGTGATTCAACTAAAGTTTGAAAAACGGCATTATAAAAACATATATTGTCATAGCGAAAAACCAGCCACTAATAATAATTATTCTCGTCAATAGAAATTTGTATCCCAAACATTTAGCAGTCAATTTCCATGTAAAATTGTCCCCTGAATCCGAAAATGTCTTCAAAAGTTATAATAATAATAATAATAATAATAATAATAATAATACTCTTTATCCACGACTACCTTATAATATATACTTTATAAATGAGTTTTCTAAAGCAAAATGATAGTCATATTTCACAGAGTGAATAATAGCAGTGAATAATCATTATTCACTGGTCTAGAGTTCCTATAGGACACACGATATAGATTGTATCTGGCAAGCACTTATCAGTTCGTCTAGGCAATTATAGCCAGGCACTTTAATTAGCTAACTTTATACCAATCATAAAAGTCTTGTTAAAGTATTACTATTAATATGTTTTTTTAATGCAATTGAATAAAAATTTAACATTAAGTAGACTATTTCAAGTAAGTAAGCCATTGACATGACATGACAAGCTTAGCATAAATTGCTGTCAATTTGAAACGTCATAAGTTCGATCCAGCACACGATTTTTGTTACAAATTATTATTAAGCTTAAATTATACATAAAAATCAAAGCGTGAAAGATGAAGAGATGTTACGCACTCAACAAAACATCACAGAAGTCACTTTTCGAAATACGAATTACTTAAAAAATCACATTCATTGGAAATAAAATACTGCATAATCTATAAATAATAGAATTATCAAGTAGGAAGCCATGTAATCAACTGACAACTAATAATTATTTGAAACGTCAAATTTTAACGACGCGGTGGTGCAATAATAATTCCTGTTAAAATTATAATTTGCTTTCAAAAATACGTTAACAATGGAAATTGATAGTGAGGAAGAGATATTGTTTACTCTACCGGAGATAACAGAAGCTGCAAAAGTCACTTCCCTGAATTTGTTGCCTGAGAAATCCCGAAATTTGTACGTATCTGTGTACAACACCTTTATGGACTGGAGAGCGACCAAGAAAATTAATTCATTCTCAGAGTCAGTTTTACTGGTATATTATATATATATATATTACAATTAATATAAATAAATAGTTTTAAAAATAGTCACAGGCATCTTTAATTTTTGGTTTTGTTAATGTCAAATAGGTTATAATAAATATAAAGTTTTTTGCATTACAATCCGATAAAAGTCAATAGTAGTCGTGGACAAAGCATAGTATTCTACTCACATATAATGAGCTATTATTCACTCAGGCTAATTATGTCACTCGCTACGCTCGTGACATAAACTTAACCTTCGTGAATAATAGCCCTCGTTATATGCTCGTATAATAATAATATACTATTATTGGTGTTACAATAAAATATTTTGCACAAGTCAATGAAGGGAAATTAAATAATTAAAATATAAAAAAACATTAAATAATTAAAATACTGAACACTACTAAATAAATATATACTAAAACATTAGGTGCATCTTACTAAAACATCAGGTACATCACAGGTTTAAAATGACGATAATAAAAATTCATCAATAGAATAAAACGCTTTTTCTATCAAGTAAGTTTTCATGGTTTTTCTGAATTCTTTCATTAATTGAAGATCTCTCACATTTATAGGGATTTTGTTCCAGAAGATTGGAGCATGGTAGGAGGTCGAAAATTGAGATTTCCTAAGCCTAATGTATTCATTTACTAAATTATTTCCATTTCTGTTGCTATGTTTGTGGATATCAGAGTGACTTTTAAAGTTATTTACATTATTTTTTGCATATATTAGGCACTCATATATATATATACGCGTAAAAGTACTAAGTGACACCAAAAACTACATTGACGTTCCCGCACCCAATATTTTTGGCGCTTAATGTGAATTAATGGCACCTTATATATTTTTTAAGTATATATGCGTTCTGACACTATACAGATATATAATACCTAACTTTTTGCCTTTAACACGATAATTTAGAAATTTCAAATTTATTCTAAAATAAATGTGTAAAATATATAAAACTACGTTACTTTCCTTGAAAATAAATTTGTAAACCGTGTCAGTACGGAACAATTACAATATTTACATAAAGTTCGTTTTTGGGTGTACAAAACAAAAAATCCATTTTTACACATTTCATGTGATTGGTGTTTTTTCACGAATATAAATTGTGACAATAATAATTTTGGCATACCGAGTTTTTTAAATTTAATTTACATTATTATACAGGGCCTGCATATTGAGACATGTGATCTTATTCAAGGGGTAAAGTAAATTTTTTTTATTAAAATAGAAAAAAAAAACAATATTGTGATTATAAATAAATTTGGTATTGCAATAACAATTTTGTTTGCCCTTTATTATAAAAAAATTATCATTCTCTTGCCCGTTCAATGATCATTTACTCTTAATATTACTAATATGTCTTTATAAAATTATCAATTTTACCCATTTTTGGGTGCAACCGTTCTGGCAAACCAGCTATGAAATGACATAAAAATAAAATCATCAATTAATTTCTGAAATTAATGTAAAGCAAATTTTGCGACAGATTAGAAGAGAGAACAGTGGCGTAGCGACAGTACCGCGAACGCCCGCCACCGCGGGGGGCCCTAGCCTTGTGGGGGCCCAGCCTATACTTGCCCCAAAACATTAAAAAACTTATTTCCATTGTATTATCTGCAAAACAAAAAACTATGGAAACATTCTAAGATTGCTTAGATTGCTAGTTATCTTTGTATGTTATAAAAATATGATATTATTTTTCTATTATTTTAGTAGTATGACAAAATTTAAATTATTTTCTCAAGATTTCAGATTTTGAAAATAGACTTAAAAAATGATACCCGTGTCTCGGCGTGTTTTCAGATCACGGCTTCAATAACAGCTAAATGTATAGTTTTTGAAAAATTTTATTTAATGAATAAATTTTATTTAAAAAAAATCAAAAATTATTTTTTTTTTAATTTATAGAATTTTTATTTAAAAAAAATTTTCTATTATTTAAAACATTCAATATTTGAAAAAATAATTTATAACAAAATAGAAAATTAAATATATGTATATGTTAAAATAATAAGAATGGCTGTATAAAAAATTTTAATGACGTGATTTTGTAAAACGGTAAGTCACGGACATGTTTTTTTAACCTATATTTTAAAATCTGTTAAATTTTTTCATGGGAGGTAAATCGTGTTGAACTGTATAAGAAACAGTGGAGAACCTTATTTAAAAAAAATATTCTTTCGCATTTTGTAAAAAAGTTGTTATTGTTATTTTTCGTTTACAAATATTTTTTTTAATAAATAATAATAATAAATTAAAATAATAATTTTTATTTTCAATATAAAAATATGTGAAATCAGGGGCCCAGTAAAGATTTTCGCGGGAGGGGTTTAACTTTAACCTTAAATAACTTTTAAACCAGTGAATTTATCAGAAAAATCAAAAGAGTGTTTTTGTAAAGCGTTTAATTTCTTATAAAAATATGTCTTCTATTGCTGTATATTAACTTGATCGGGAGAAAAAAAATAAATGTAAAACGTGCCGAAACCCCCTGTAATTTAAATGGAAAATGTATCGTCTTTGTGGCAAGGTTTAATATGAATATTAAGGGCTTATATGAGTCTGATAATTTTGTTAGGTCATAAACTAAAAATAAAATAAGTTGGTAAATAACGGAAACCCTAATGTATAAGTATATTTCTTTACACAATTCTTAATTTTACACATTTCTAGCAAACCAGCGATTAAATTACGTAAAAATAAAACCATATAATCAATTCCTGAAATTAAAGCAAATTTGGCAGATTACAAAAGAAAATAAAGATTTTTAAAAACCTTTTGCCTCAACAACAAATGTCAAAAAATACTTTATTATTTTCCCGGCAATATTGATAGATTATTCCTAATTTAATAATGTTTTGATTGGCTAAAACATAAATCCATGACTAAAATTCAAAGATTTTATTGGTTTTTAGAAAATGATAAAAAATAATCACACAAATATAATAGGTATAGTCGTCTCGGCGA